CAGACTTGGCCTTTCTGAAAGGGATAGGCCTTTCTGGAACCTTTCTCAGGTTGTTCTTCTCGGAGGGGCCTGGCCATCCTCCTGCATTCCTGGGGTGCTTCCTCTCCTGAATCCTGAACCAGACATTGCCCAGTGACTCTGCAGGCCCCCACCTCTCCCCCTGCCACTCAGCAACGGTTCCATGATGCCCAAGAGCTCACACTACTTGCTAAGGCAGGCTCTCTGCTTTTGCAAGTAGTGGAGCCTCATCTCACCCCAGCAGGCCTGGGAAGTGCTCTTCACCAGCTCTGTGAATTGAAATCCTGCCTCTCTCTGAAGCCTTTCTGGTCCACGCAGCCTGAAGACCCTCAGTGCCTGTCTTTGGGGCCCTGTATCCATAGGCTTCCTCTTTGTCCTGCCAGTGTGGGCTCTTGGAAAACGGACAAGCTTTTGCCCACACTCTGAATAAAAGTCTATACATATCCATTCAGTCCTCCCTTTCCCAGGCGCCTATCACAGGTAGGCAAATTGGTGTGATATCCTTGTGCATCTATTCCACTCTCATCTTGGCCCTTTGTGGGGCCCTTTTTAATTTAATTTCTGTGTTTCTTTACATATTTGCTCACTTGTTATAGCCTCCCACCCCCAATCTCCTTGACTCCTGTTTGAGGGAACCTGAATTTTGGAATGATCTGATTGGTCCTTCACTTTCTTTTCCAGTTCTGGAGGGGGGACCCATGCATCCTAGGCTAGTGCCCTGCCACCGAGTCACACCCTCATGCTGCACTTCTTTTTAGTTTTCTCACACGTATATGTATGTTTAGGCAATATTTTGATTTAGCTTTTCTTTTAAAAAAAAAAAAAAACTTCTCTGCAATTTTCTTTCATATCAGGAGTCCTGAATAATTATTAACAAATTTACTTCTAGTTGCTTTACATTTTTGTGGATATTTTGAGAAGCCGATTTCCCATTACACTTTGAATGGCTCAGTAGTGTACAAGAAGGCAGATTATTTCAATGTATTCCTTTATTTATTAATTTATTTTTGTAGTTGTTGATAGACCTTTACTTTATTTATTTATATGTTTTGCTGAGAATCGAACCCAATGCCTCACACATGCCAGGCAAGTGCACTACCACTGAGCCCCAGCTCCAGCCCTTGATGTATTCCTTTTTTACCTTATAAACCAATTACATTTTCAGGGTCTAATAGTTTCTCAACAGATAGCCTTGAGTCTTTTAGGCTCAAGATAATCATCTCCTCCGCTAATAGCAAAAGGACTGGAAGGAACCACACTATTATTTATAAAGATATGATTTGGCTTGGTTTTGAACTTCACCAGAAGGAGACCTGTCTTCAGGGACTTTCTCCACTGCATACTAGGGTACTGGGTCACTCCTGATGTTGTGTGCCACGTGGGTCCTTTGCTTGCTCTGCTGAATGGTGTGCCATTGTTTGAGTCAATCTACTGTAATTTATTTATGCACTCTCGTTAATGGGCACTTGGTTATTTCTACTCTATTCAAAAACATGCAGCTGTGAACATTCTGGTCTGTGTGTGTTTCTCAGAGTATGTGCAAGAGCCTCTTTGGATTTTATGCCTGGGAGAGTTTGCTGGGTGACAGCCTCTGCTATCTTTCAGTTTTGTAAGATACAACCAGATTGTTTTCCCCAGTGGTTATCTGGAGTTGCGCTCTGACTGGCAGCGCAGGGCCCTCCTGTGCCCCGCCTCTTCTCCAGCTCTGGGTGCTGCCAGCCTGGTTACTCTTGCCCTTCTAATGGTGTAAAATAGCATCTCGAGGTGGTCTTCATTTGCATTTCCCTCCTCACCGGGGACGTTGAGCATCCCTAAGATGTTTATTGGACAATGTGTCTCCTCTTCTGTTTCTGCCTCCTCGTGGCTTTTGTCTGTGCTTCTCTTGGATCCCTTGCTCTTTTTCTGAAAGATGGGCAAGAACTCTGCATGGATTTCGGGGTGGACCCGCCCCCCTGGTGCAGGGCTCACATCCTAGTCTGTGGTGTGGCTTGCTTTTCACTTTCTCTCAGGTGTCTTCACCTTTCTCTTTCCCCTCCCACTCGGAAGACCTCGCTAGTGGACACAGTGTGTGTGTGTGTGTTGGGGGGGGGGTCTTGGGCCCCGAGAGCCGGTATAGACCGACCGCTCCTCGTGTCCCTGGGGCTTCAAGGGACCCCTCCCACTCCAATGGGGCGGGCGGCCTGGCCGGGAGCCCTCGCGGGGCTGGGGTGGGCATCCCGGGCAGGGAGGGGGCGCCCCGGGTGATCACTTCCGCTGCCCACCTGGGGGCCGGCGCTGTGCGCTCGGCTGGGCAGCAGCGGCCGCAGCTCGGCTCCCCTGGGCCCTGGGTCCGGCTCCGGAGGCGGGGGCGGGGCCAGGCCTGCGGCGGGCGGGGGCGGAAGCTGCCGGAGCAGATAAGGGCCGAGGTCGGTCCTGCGGCGAGACGGTGCGGGGCGCCGCCTCCCCGCCCCCGCACCTCGCCCGGCGAGCCCCCCCACCCCAGCTGGGCATCCTGGCCCGGGAGCCAGGGGAACGGTGGGGGTGGGGGCCAGCCTATCGCCCCGCTCGGGACAAGTGACAAGTGACAGCCGGGCTCCACGCCTCGGTTATCTGGGCGGGAAAATGGGGGTAGGAGCCCCATCTCCCCTCCCCCACGCCGCTGGGATAGAACAGGGGCCGGCGAGTACAGGCCTCTGATCAGGGCTGTGGTCCTGTTCTGCACGCGAGGCACCCCAGCCACTCACAGGCCAGCCGCCAGCCACCTCCTGGCTCCTGGCTCATCCCCAGAAGGCCCTTGAGCAGCCTCCTTCCCCGACTCCCTCACCTGTGGAGTGGGAGTAATCCAGGTCCGAGCTGAGAGTGTGCAAGGAGGGGGACCAACCCTGGGCTGTTGGAAGCCAATGTCCCTCCTGCAGCATCTCCACACCAGGGGACTCACTTTTCTCCTCACATTAGGGTCAAGTCCCCCATCCAGTGACTCGGTTCACAGATGCAGACCTGGGATTGAAAGCGGCAAACATTCGTCCCCCGTTCTAGCCACAGGGAATGCTGTTTTGTCACTTTTGAGGTTAAGTGCTACTGGCCCACGGTGTGCATGCCCAGGGTGGGGAGCCAAGGGCATAAACCAGGAGGCTGCTCACCCTTCTGGATTTTATACTCTTTGTTCTCATGGGCGCCTGAGGCTGGAGTTTTTCCAACTCTGACATCCTCCAGCTTGGATCAGGAGAAGTCGCAGAATCTGGAACGAGTGCTATGGTTGAGAAGCGGAGTGGCCAAGGGCCTGGGTGGTAGTGACCCTCCAAAAGTTCCAAGTTGCTCTCCAGATGAGAAGAGACGCCACTCTACTTATGGTTCACATAGAATTTCTGTGCTGCTGGCTGACTGGAGAACTGAGTTCTCATTTGAAAACTGCTCCTCTCTAGCCAGATGACCTGGCACCAGCCACTCTGAACCCCAGTCTTCTCATCTGAGAAAGGCAGATAATCTTGCAGATGCAAAAATTAAGACATTGCCTGATGAATCCACCAGCTGTTAAAACAGTCCTGGCTGAAAGGGAGGAGCCCTTGCCAGGGCAGAAGTTGGGGCCTCCAAGGTTTTTTTCTCAAGGAGGGAGTCCCTTGGGTGGGAGCCGAGAAGTTCAGCTCCAGCATTGTCCCAGACTAGGAAGGGTCAGGGTGAGGCCAGGGGCCCTGGGGTGCTAGAGAACCGAAGGGAGCCAAGGTTCTCACCTGACTCAGGCAGGTGAGAGGGAGCAGAGGGAGGAAGTGGGGACTTCTGGGAGGAGGCAGGAGGGGGACTGTGGTGTGATGCTGGCCACACGATCACCCGAGGCCCCATTCCACAACCTCTCATTTGTCCCTCATTGCAAACTTTCGACTTAGGCATTCGAATGGGGAAAACTGAGGCTCAGAGAGGTGAAGTCGCTTGCCCAGGGTCACTCACTACACATGCTCCAGAGCCTGGACTCCTGTAGGCACTGCCTACAGTGGTGTGCTCCCTGTCCTCCGACTAGGAAACAGAGCCTCAGGGTGTCCCCATGCCTGCCACACCCTCCCAAGAGCTTCAGGCTGGTGGCACTTAGGAGATATCATCAGGAGGAGAGGTGGCTCAGTGAGAGCAGAGAGCTGGAGTGAGGGAGTGAGCTCACCATCTCAGGACAGCTTCAAGTAGAGGCATCTGGAGCCTCCATCTTTGCTTGCCGATAGCCAAGGAGCAGGAGGAATGTCTCAGGGGCGTAGGGGACATGGTTCATAGTGGTCCTAAAACTAGCCAAAATTTGTCTGAAATTTCTGATTTTACCTAGAAACTCACAAAAGTTTTCAACCTTTTCTTTAATAATAATAGTGGGATCCCGACCCCTTTTTTAAAAATTTCCCCTCTCGGTCTTCTACCCGAGTGGACGCTTCAGGCCAGGGCAGCAGGCCGTGGTTCTGCTCTGTGGCTGTGTATACCCGTGCGAGCACTGTGGACCACAGGCCCCCAGGGCTTGGGAGAAGAAGAGGGACAGGACTGAGGTAGAGACCCTGCCTGTTGTCACAGTCTGGGGCCAGCCCAGCTTCTGCTCAGAGAAGTGCTCTCTTCTCTCACAGACTCATGTTCACACAGCCCCGACAGTCTCATGGCAATTCTCAGAGGCCCCTCCCCTCCCTTCGTCCTTTGAGGGTCTTTGGTTCATCGTGGTCACTATCTTCATGCCTCTCTGCTGGGCAGCCTACATTCATGTCCCCTGACCAGCACGACCCAGGGATTTTTGTGCCTCTCAGGAAGAAACTTGAGCACAGAGGCACCTGGTCCAGGGTTCACCGTGAACAGGGTCATTGGATGCCCAGGGAGGGTCTCTGGGCAGGTGGGGCACCTGCGCCAGAGGAGAGATCTGGGTGCTGGCTAGGGAGGCAGGAGGAAGGAGGGAAGGCCTTGGGGTGTCTGGGGGCTGCTGCCTGCCAGGTCCCTGTGCCCAGGCTAGGGAAGTTTCTTATTTCTCCTGTTCTGACTTCCCCCTTTGATTTATTATAGCCATGAAATGCTCTGCTCTCTTCTCTTTTCCTTGCTGTCCCCCGGGGCTGGAGGAACACAGGCCTCCCAGGCACCCGGCCTCAACCTTGCTGGACTCCCGTCTCCTTCCAAGGGCTGGGCCTAGGGGCCAGAAACCGAGGTGAGTTGGGCAGCAAGGGGAGGAAGGGGAGGGACCCAGCTCTCAAAGGCAGGACCTTCAGGGGCAGGCAGCGTCTTGCCTGGGCAGAGAGTGAGGCAGGTGTGGATTTGGCAGCAGCAGGCTCCCTAGGGTGGTGGGGGTGGAGGGCTCTGGGTCAACGCCTCAGTAAGGCTTGGGAACAGGCCTTGTCATGTCTGAAGGCCTGGCAGCCCTCAAATGCCAAATAGTAGGTCACAGAATGGTTTCTCTGTGACCCCTGACCCCGTATTTGGATTAAAGGGTAGCCAAAGTAGGCCTGGCTTAGGCCCATCTGGGGATTGGGCTGAGAATCCAGAGGAAGGAAGGCCTGAGGCTCTGGTCCCCAGGTAGATTCCGGGCTCCTCCAGGTCGCAGCTGGACAGCGCTCTGAGGCCTGGCCCACGGGGGGAGTCTGTCCAGCTCCTCGACAGGCAAGGTGGCAGGAGCATTTCTCCTAGCCCCTGTGCGGTGCCTGTGGTAATGGGGCTGTTGGCGTTTTGCAATGGGCCGGGGGTGGGGAGGCAGTGCACACATGCTTCCTGTGGTGACTGAGCGCTTCCTGTTTTCTCAGGCGCCGGCCTTGCTGCTGCCGATGTGGAAAGAGGGGCAGCTGCAGCCAGGGCGGCTCCAGGCTGGGCACCCTGACCCTGCCCAGAGGAGCCTAAGTGGGCCCACAACCCCCCAGGCCCCAGACCTGGGCAGTAGATGGCCTGAGTTCGCCCCACATGAAGCCCCTACCCCTCCCTTCCCCAACAGCTTCCACCAAGGGGAAGGGGCCAGGCAGGGCAGAGCAGTGGTCCAGGAGGCCAAAGGTCCAGGGGTGAGAGCTCCAGGCTGGGAGTCAGGGCACGTGGCTCTGGGCTCGGCTTTGTCTGGAGCTGAGCGCCGCTGGCCACCTCTCACCCACTCAGGCCTCTTTTTCTTTTTCTGGCACCAGGAGGTGGAATCCTAGCCCATTTCTGCCCACTCATTGAACTTTACTTCCCAAGAGGCGAAGCTTTGGGGACGGCACTGAGGCTGGGCCTCCCAGGTGGGGTGTGGGGAAGACCTAGGGAGGGGGACTGGAGAGGCTGGAGGGGGTAGGAGAGCACATGCCAGGTGGGGGCCAGGCTGAAACAAGGCTTGGCAATGGGGGCCAGGACCAATGTGAACAGAGAGAGTGGAGGGACAGAGGGACATAGCGGGCGACAAGTTGATTCAGAAGGACTCAAACATGGGAGGAAGGTTGTAGGAACCTCTTCATCCGGGCAAACCCCAGGAAAGGGTTTGACACCCCATCAAAGGAAGACTGGTGGTCATGTGCAGGATGGGGGCAGGGCCAGGCTTCCCGTCTGCTAAGGGGATGGAGGCCCCTGGAGTGTGACACGGGGGGCCTTGGAGACCGGTGCCTTTCCCCACCTGTCAGTCTGCCTAGAGGGTCATCATTAGGGTCAGGTCTTGGGATTCAGTGCTGCCGTCTTCCTGAATCTGTTTTGTTTTGTTTTAAGCTGATATTGCAAGAAAGGGAGGGGAGATGACTTTGCTTCTTGTTGAGTTTGCTGACGGCGTCTGGCCTTTGGAGGAGGAACATCTTCGCAGAAAGGCCAAGGCCCAAGCAAGCCCCTGGGGCCTGACCAGTCCACTGATTGAACCAGCCACCCCCTTGGTCCAGGACGTTCTGAGATGCCTGCCCCACGAGGAGCTCCCCCTAAATCCCAAGATCTACCATCATAGCACAGGGACCGGGCCCAGCCAAAGAGGCCTCAGAGGTCCCACAGATCCTGAGACCCAGGCTGAGGGGCCATTGGGCCAGGCTGGCCCTTACCATCCTGTGCCCGAGGCCAGCCTGAGTGCTGAGTCTGCGGCACAGCAGCTGCTTCTGGCCACAAAGGCCCAGTTATAAATAAGCCCCATGTGGCCAAGTCATCAATTCTGCAGAACTCTGGCCCAGCTGCATCACTTCAGTGACCACAGGTCGGGCTGCCCAGGGTGGACCCCAGAACCCACCCACCCAGGCCAAAGGCTAATAGGCTCGAAGCCTCCTTGGGTCCTCAAATTTCTATGTTTGAGCATCTGCAGCTCTTGAAACTTAGGCCTCCCTGGACACAGGCCACAGAAGGGACAGGGCCCATCCTGCCTGCACAGAGCCAGCAGCTATTTACAAACCGAAACCCGGAGAAGTGAAGTAGCTGTGGCCAAAGTGGCTCCAGGCCCCCAGCCCCCACTCCCACTCCATCCCCGGCAGTGCCCCCCCATGGCTTCCTCTTTCCTTCCCACACAGCACCCCAACCTCCTACTGCCTGGCCAGCTCTGGACAACCTGAAGCTACCCCATGGTGACCCCCAACCCCTTAGCCACCTGCCCAGGGCTCCCCTGCTCCTCTTTACCCCAGGACCCTGTAAGTGTGAGCTCCTTGAAGCAGCTCCCCGCCCCTGCACCACACACACTGGACCCAGCCCACCCCCGTCTGCACGAGGCACATTCCCACAGTTCTCAGTTCCCCTTCATGACTGGAAAAGCTCCAACCCAATGGGCGCCATGCTGCTGGCCCTTGCCTGAGGGCGGCTCCTTTGGGTGCCTTTGACCTTCACAGCAGACAAGTAGGGGGTCAGGAGATGGGGTGTGCTCCTCTGGTATCTGAGGGTTGCTTCTGGCGGGAGGCCATCACCCTACTCGTTGTCAGCCCCCTCATCAGGCAGGTGTGGATTGTAGGCCCCTGTGCAGGGCAGATTGGGTGGGGACAGATGGACACGGGTGGAGACCACAGCTCAACACTGCTTAGGAGCTGGCGGATCGGCTGGTGCTGCAGCAGCGACAGGGAGAGAGAGCATATGACCATCCCTGGTGGCAGTGTCCCTCGCGTTGACACGAGGTTGACAGTTCCCCTCCATCTGTATTCCCCTCAGAAAAGGCCTGTTCTGTCATCTCCGTCATAAGATGGAAACTGAGGCTCAGGGGGGACCATGGGTCTGCGCGGCTAAAGGGTCTGGACTGAGATTCTAGATTCCACAAGGAAAATCTAAACCCACGGCCTCCCTCTTCTGACACCTGGCTCCTCTGTGTACCTCAGTCTCTCTCCCAGAAGGGTGGACACTTCCCAGCACTGTGACAAGGATGGAGCAGAGGGGTCTGGAGCTCAGGCCTCGGACCCCAGGGCACATGGCCTTCCCTGGCCCTGCCATCAGTGCCCACTGGCCCCTGCCTTTGCCACAGGCCCTGCCCCATTCCTTCCCTCTGGCCACATCCCCGCCGAGGGAAACCCCTGGGTGAGCGCCTCCTGCCCCAGGCAGCTGGCCCACGGAGTCCCACCTCTCCTCTCTGAGCCGCAGATTTCAATCTTGTGAATTGTCACAAATACCTGGAGCCAGGCCGGTCCTGGGTGTGAGCTGTCTATACAGCTAGGGCTCGGCCCTTGCCCTTGGGGAACCCATAGTCCTATGGGGACTGCAGACAAGCCCTGTGAGCTTCAAGGGAGAAACTGAGGCCGTGGGACGCTGCCTGGGGGGGGAGCGCTGCTATTGGGATGGGCCCTGAAGGACAGGAAGGAGTTCTCCAGCAAGAGCAGGGTGGATCGGGGCTCAGTGCTGAGTCACAGCCCCGTGCCTGGCTTCTCGGCTCCCGTGGCCTGGAGGGCCGGTCCCTGCTGTGAACTCCTGCCCATCTGTCAAGGCCCATGGACATGCCATAGCACGACCAGGCTTCGCCTGGCCTGGTGGCTCCTCACTTCCACTTCTCTCCTAGGGCCTGGAACAGACCCAGAGGTGAGGCTTCCTTGGTCCTAATACACTTGCCAGCCCCACCCGGCCAGGCGTCTGCTCCCGGGCTCCAGCCCCCGCTGTCCTCTGCTCCGAAAAGCACCGTTTCCCTTTTCTGGGTGACCACACACGCCATGCACAGGGAATTTCCATCGCAGCCTGCGGAGCCTCTGATTCACTCAGGCCCCTCATGCAGTTAACTCCTCCAGGTCTGGCCTCCTGCTCCAGCACCCTGGCTGCCCCCAGCCCTAGCCAGACCTTTGGGCCACTCTGCACTGACCTTGGGCCCCGTAGACTCCAAGATGAATTCGGCAACCATCTCAGTGGCCCACAAGAGTCGGCTCACCTCCTCCACACTCATAGATCTAAGGCAGCTTTGGGCCGAACTCAGGTTTGTGGGCAAGACAAGCCTGGGCTTAAATACTGATTCTGGCCCTTAGTCCCTGTGTGGCCTGGAGCACATGGAAGCACCCACCGTGAGCTGGTTTCTGTCTTTAAAATGGAGATAACTCCTGCCCGTGGCCTCTGAGCCTACGGCGGAACTCAGTAACTCTTAGTTTTTTTTCTTTTAAAGAGCTTTGCCTACCCACTTGAATCAAATTGTGAAATATGATATATCAAGAACTATGTAATGTTTTGAACAGCCAACAATAAAAAATTTAAAAAAAAAAAGAGCTTTGCTTGTCCTACCACAGAGTCCCTACCCCGGCCCTTCTCCTGGGCTGGCTCTCTCCTCCCAATAGCTGGTTGCTCAAGGAGGGTGAGAGGGACGTGCAGCCTTGACCCCCAGGGTGGTGGGGCCTTGTCCAGTGGGCAGAGAAGCTGTCTCAGGCCTCTGCTCTACCAGCTTCCTGGCTCCCCACATTTCTGCTTTTCCCAGGAGCAGTGGAGAGGCCTGGGGTGGGAGCTCCAAGGGGCTGAGGACTGAGATGCTGAGCCCTGGGGACAGGGCTGAGCTTCCTTCTCTCTGGCGGGCACCTGGTCACACACATACATCATACCTGCGTTCTCACGGGCCCATGAGGTGTGTCCCGTTATTGTTCCCATTTTGCAGATGAGGAGACTGAGGCCCCAAGAAGTGTCTTGCCCTCAGCCACAGAATGAGAGAGGAGGGTCAGGGATAGTATTGAAGGTCTTCAGAGGTGAAGACCGATCTCTGCAGGACTCAGTAAGCATTTACAAAGGCCAACCAAGGATGGACTTTAGTTCCAACATGCACTAATTGGAACCCTACTGTATACCAGGTAAAGGCTTGCACAGAGTAGCCTTTAGTTGACCTAGCACCACTCCAAGACCTGTAGAACAGGGTGCCTGAGCTCTGGAGCAGGAGAGAGGGACGAACTCCCCAGAGGCCTTGTGGCCAATCCCTGGGGGGAAGATCCTGGTGAGCATAGAGACCAGGGGACCTAGAGGGCAGAGGATGGCAGAGGGGGCTCCACAGAGGAGGGTCTGGGTGGGGAAGCAGCTCCTCCTCAGTGAGCTGGTGTGGTGCTGCCCGTGGTGAGCAGACGGAAGTCGCTGTGGGTGGCGGTGGGTTTGAGGTGCCGGAGGCTGAGTGATGTGGCCAGGAGGTGAGCGCCCCATCTGTAGGCCTGGTCAGCCCGAGACAAGGGTGTGGTGGAGGGGGGGCTTCAAATCCCAGCGCCTGGACTCTGAGGAGGCAGGACTCTGAGGAGGCAGGTGCTCTGGGGGTTTGTGCCTGGGGCTGCAGGGCTGGGGCACCCGAGAGGAAGGAGAGACTGAGGAAAGATGGGGCAAACCGGGAAGGGGGCAGTCTGAGGAGGTAGCCCGAAGGAGGTGAGCCTTGAAAGAGAGGCCCTGGGGTGTGGAAGGCCGTGGGCCTGTGAGCCAAGGCTGTGGGAGATTGAGAAAGAGGTTCTGGGAATGTTGAGCAGCGCCTTCTGGCTGGGGTGGGGTTGGGGCTGCATGGGGTGGAGGAGGGGGAGGCTGCTAGCTCCCGTGTTGGAGGCCCAGAGCAGGCTTAGAGGCTGAGAGCTAAGGAAGACTCCTGGGGAAATACCCGCAAGAGACCCACAGGCTTAGCTCAAGAACACAGGCCCTCGGGCCACTCTGCAGCAGCTCTGGCCCCACTGCCAGCCACGTGCCCTTGGGCAAGCCCCCTCACCTCCCTGGGCCGCATCTCCCTCATCTGTAAGGTGCCACTGATCAGGTCTGCCCCCCAGGAACAAGGGGGGAAGGAGCCAAGGCAGGTAGACAGTAGGGGCCAGCCTGGCTTGCGCTTCAGGAGCATCTGCCGTGGTTGCTAGCGAGGGTCAAGGTCTCAGGCAGACCTGAGCGTGCATCTCCCTGAGGCCTGGATTGACTGAGCCACTTCTGAGCCTCAGTGGCCGCATCTGTACCCGAGGGATGATCATGGCACCAGCTTTAGACTCGGATAGGAGCGAACGCACCCTGCAGTGGGCCCTTTGATCTTGGAGTTAAAACCAAATCCCACACTCCCCCCTTCGAGGTCCTACCCGACCTGGTGACCTTCTGGAGGAGGCCCTCCCTGGACAGGAGAGATCACACCCTGGGGAAGCAGTCCAGGCTTCTCCCAGCTGCGATGATCCCCCTTCCCAGCGTCATGGGATTCCTCTCTAGTGGCCATTACTTTCTGCATGCGGGGACACACGCCATCTACTGTGTCCCCGGCTCCTCTCCTGCCGGAGAGCAGGCACCCTGAAGGCAGGGATGCAAAGGCCTTCCTCCCCTGTCAGCCGGCATGTGAAGGCCCTGGCCAATATCTGCTGGCCATCTTCAAGCTCTAAGAAGCCAGCAGTGCTGTGACCAAAGTTTGGGGAGCGCTGAGGGGCCCTAGTGACCCAGGCTGGGGCCCCAGGGTCCTTTTCCCAAGTGTCTCAACCCTGAGAGGAAGTTGCAAGACAGCCATCTCGGTGCTCGCCATTTCCCTGCCCAGGCTCAGCTCGGTTGGGCCAACTTTCCCAGCCCTGGGCGTGAGGCCTGCGTTTTTGAACATGCGCTGTCACAGCTCCTGGGGGACGGTTCATAGGAAAATAGGAGGGGTGACATTTCCTCATTTCCCAGGTCTTTTAGGCCGAGGGTGAGGGGTCTGCGAGGTCCGGGGTCAGGTTCCCCTCTGTGGACTCAAGCTTTGGGGACGCCTGCCCATTTCCTGCTGCTTGCCTCCCCTGCAATTGCATTAGCACCCAGCCAACCCCCATTGGCCACTAGCCCAGTGGGGGCAAAGGGCCACCCCACCCCAGGCCTGCCTGGCCTCCGTGTCACTCTGCAGGTCACCCACTTGTCCAACAGGGTGGGGAAAGATCACCGACAGGCACTGCTGGTAGGAGGGTAAGAGGTACAATGTTATTAAGGTCATATGACAATAGCTATCTACTTACCGGTCTGTCATCAAGTTAGAAGTGCGCAGCCCTTCAACCTGGTGATTCAACTTTTGGAAATTTATCCCAAACATAAGCCTGTTATGTATAAACCTGCACGTGTGTAATTTACCACATTTTATTGGTTGCAGCCTTATTTGCAGCAGCAGAAGACTGGAGACACCCACGTGCCCATCAATAGGGGACTGATTACAGAGATTATGACCCTGGAAAAGGGTCCAGCAATGAGAGTGAACACAGCGGGTTGTGACAGAAGAAGCCGGACCCCAGAGGCTGTGCACACCATCCTTCTCTTCCTCTCAAGACTCAAATCTGTTCAGATAAAAACTAAGCTACAACAGTTAGAGATGCTCATGAAGAAAAGTAAGGGGTGGGAGCGGAGGTGTAGCTCACGGGAGGGCTCCCGGCTGGCACGCACCGGACCTGGGTCCTGCACAGTACCAAGCGGGGAAAGTGTAAGGAAATAATTTCTAAAAAAAAGCTAGGACAGAAGTAAAGGGACGTTTGAGGTGCTCTGGGTCCTGGCAATCTTTTATTTCTTTTTTTCTTTTCCTAATTTATTTTTTAAAATTTTATTTATTTTTTTCATTTTTTTTTTCTTTCCCCAGTGCTGGGTCAAACCCAGGCCTTATATATGCTAGACAAGTGCTTTCCCATTGAATCACACCTTCAACCCTTCTTAAGTTGCTTAGGGTCTTGCTAAATTGTTCAGAATGGCCTCAAACTTGAGATCCTCCTTCCTCAGCCTCCTCAGCAATGTTTTCTTTCTTTCTTTTTTTTTGGTGGTGCTAGGGATTGAACCCAGGCCCTTGTCTATGTGAGGCAAGCACTCTACCAACCAAGCTATATCCCCAGCCCAATGTTTCATTTCTTGACCTGGATAATGTTTACACAGTGTTAGCTTTATAATTAAATTGTACATAAATATTTTATGTGCCCTTTTTTATGAATGTGTCTTTCATGATTTAAAAATCTCACAGCCTAAGGAGGGGACACACACTTATAGTTCCAGCTACTTAGAGACTGAAGCAGAAGGATCTCTTGAGGTAAGAATTGAGGATAGCCAGACAATATAGCAAGACACTGTCCCCCCCAAAGCATCACAGCACAGATGCTCCTCTGCATCCTGGTAAACTAAGTAAAAAATGCAATTGTCCTAGCTCAGCAACACAGTGCACTGTAGCTCAGCCTTCACCCTCAAGATCCTGTGGTGACCGAGGACTGTAGTGGCTGCCACTGCAGCATCTGGAGAGTCTCGGATTGCGTATCACGATTCCAAATTCTGGGGCTGGGGTTGTGGCTCAGGGGTGGAGCGCTCGCCTAGCACATGTGAGGCCCTGGGTTTGATCATCAGCACCACATAAAAATAAATAAATAAAATAAAGGTATTGTGTCCACCTACAACTAAAAAGTAAATGTTTAAAAAAAAAAAAAGATTCAAAATTCAAGCTGAGCATCGTGCACACCTGTAATCCCAGCTATTCTGGAGGTTGAGGCAGGAGTATCACAAGTTCAAGGTCAGCTCAGCAATTTAGTAAGATCCTGTCTCAAAAACAAAAAGGAACCAGGGATGCAGCTCAGTGTAAAGTCCTCTTGATTCAGTCCCCGACACAGGAAAAAAAAGAAATCAACATTTGAAGAACTTCAGTAGAAATTTTTACTGAACGTACCATCCTTTTCATACCATCGTGAAGTCAAAAAATCCCAAGTCGAACCATTAAATCAAAAAATCCTAAATTGAAGCATCATAAGGAAGGGACCTTCTGTACATCTAAACAGTAAAATACTATACAGTCCTTAAGGAAGGGCAAGACAGCTCTGTAATAATTAATATGGAATGGATTTAGGGGAGAAGAAACAAGGGGAAGTATAATGTGTTTAGTGTGATCCCTTCTGTATAAAATAGAACATTGACTTTATCTATCTACATGCTTATGTCTGCTTAGTCCATCTCTAAATGGACACAAGAGGACCAGGTAACAGGGGAGACCGTCTGTGGAAGAGGAACTGAGCACTTGCTGACCTTTGTGCTCTTGGTATTTTGTACCACGTGTCTGTATTATCTATCCCAGAAATAAAATAATGAAAACACTTTTTCTTCCTCTGTTCCCTGGAGACCCCAGGATTCTTGGTTCCAAGCCAGTTTCCTTCCGACCAGAACGACCAGAGCCACATTCTGGCAAGGTGTACCTGGTGACGTCTGGCGAGTCACAGACCCTGACTCCCACTCGTCTCGCTGTACAGGAAGGAGGCTGGGGCCATGCCCTGAGTGCCACCGCCTCCTGGCCTCTGCTGTCCGTGTCCCCCACCTTGCCTCTTGTCCCCCCTCCCCCCCTCCCCTCCCCTGTCCCTGCCTGTTCTCTCCTGTCTCGCCCTTGGCCCTGGGCAGCTCTCCGGGCTCTCTGTCTGCTCCTGCCTTTCCTGCTCTCTCCCTTCCTCGGCTTCTCAGGGCTCCCCCTTCCTTCTGCCTGCCTCCCTCCCCGGTGAGCCCTGCCGGAGCCCCTGCAGGCTGTGAGACTCTGCTGGGGTCTCCGATCTCCTGGGCCCGGGAGATCCTGGCCTGTCAGGCACGCAAACAAGATGTGGTCCTTTTTAACCCTGGGGTTGTGGATCGCCAGACTCTCCTGTCTCTCAGGATGAACAGTATCACAGAACAGTGTTCCAGGGTGTAGGATGGGGTCACGCCCCAACAGACCTAGCCGGAAAATATCTGAAGTCAAAGAAGCTCAGCTTCGTGGGCTCGGGCTGGGGTGGCCCTGAAACCCCCCCACCTCCACCGCCAGGATCTACTCGGAGTTCCTGGGAATCTGGATCCTGCTCTTCCCAAGGATTTGAATAGGAAGGAGCAGGTCCCCGGGGATGTGGGGAAGAGGCCTCTGTTGTCCTCCAGGAGGCGGGAGCTGGAAGAGGGCGGCGGGAAGGTTGCGTGGCCACAGGTGGGAGCAGCTCGCAGGGCGCAGGGCGGGGAGCATTTGGCCCCTTCCAGAATGTTCGGCCCTGAGCTTCTCTCTCCCGGAACCTAGGGCCTCCTGCCTGCTGAGCTCGTGGTCCACCTCCAGCCACACCCCAGCCACCTGGGTGTCTCTTTGGTCTGCCTTTCCTAGGCTCCTTGGGCTTGGCCAGACTTGGGACAATGGACTCCTTCTTCCCCTTGGACCTCTCGAATCTTAATCCTCCTGGAAACGTGGCCTCCTGTCCACACTAACGGGGCAGAGCTCTGCCCTCGCTCTGCATGTAACGAAGCCCCTGGGCTTGGCTCTCGAGGCTGTTGGCCTTGTTTCCGGCCACAAGGATGGCAGCTGGCTGTCCCCATGTTCTTTTCCAACTGCTTGCCCCCACCCTCCCCAGGCCACCCTACCTGTGACAGTGACCTCACTCACACCTCCCTCTCCTGTGCTGTCCAAAGACCCACAGTGTGCCACCACCGCTCCAGGCCTGGGAGGTCCTGGAGGCTCCCTCACCCGACCCCCAGCATGTGGGCGTCATGTGATAAAAGGTACCAGTGAGTAGGTAACTCGCACAAAACCAGATCAGATTAAGACAATAAGGAGCAAACGAATGGATGATGGAGAGGAGGACCTTATCCCCCACCATCTCCTCGCCTGGGGCTGGGCCTTCCTGATGAGGAAGTGAGGAGCCAGGATGGACTCACGCCAAGCCAGCTGTCCCCCTCCTGAGAGACAGGGAGGGGCCTTGGTCAGGTTCCTAGGAGTTCTGAGGACTTGTGACCTGGACCTGTGGAGAGTCCCAAGTGCAGATACCCAAAAAAAAAAAAAAAAAAAATCAGTGAAGATGGAAGGGAGGTTGACCTCGTGGTGAGCCCCAGGCTGTGAATCCCGGGTCTTTGCTGACAGTGAAGGAACTTTCAGGGTTCTGGGAATCTATGGGCAGGAATGAGGCAGACTATCCCCCGAAGGGAGGGGACCTAAGGGAAAGGATGAGATTACACAGGGGAGACAAGAATACTCAAGTTCTTTGCCAGCAGAGTGGACTCACCAGAGGTCACTGGTGAAAATCGAGGCCTCTGTTCATCATTCCACATGCCCCCAGACTAGATCTCTGAAGGCAGGAAGCTAGAACAATACCTTTCTGTTTCCCAGCACTTGGCACAGAGTCTGGAACTCAATTAACATTGGGAGGATGAATGGACTCATGGCTGATGGGTTGGATAAGTGGATGGATGAATAGGTGGATGAGTGGATGGGTGGATGGGTGGATAGACCAATGGATGACTAGATTGGTAGATGGATATATGGTGCTAATAAGTTCTGATAGATAGTAGATGGATGGGCTGATGTATAGACATGTAGATGAACAGATAGATAAACAGATGAATAGGTAGATGAATTGACAGATAAATCAAAAACTTAGTGAACAGTTGGATAAACAGGTAAATAAACTTATGGTTGGCTTGATAGGTAGATAAATGAATAGATAGATAGATAGATAGATAAATTAGATGGATGGGGAAATAAATGATTGGATGGACAGACAAGAAAGGTTTGTAAATGCTGGGGACAGTGGCACATGCCTATAATCCCTGTGACTCAGGAGGCTGAGGCAGGAGGATCACAAGTTGGAGGCCAGCCTCAGCAACTTAGCAAGACTATGTCTAAAAATAAAAAATAAAAATGGGGACATGGTTTGGTGGTAAAGTGCCCCAGGGTTAATTTTTCAGTAGAGAGAGAGAGAGAGAGAGAGTTCAATTTTCAGTACAAAAGAGAGAGAGAGGGAGAAGGAAAGAAAAATAAATGTTTATAAACTAGGAAAACCAAACCAATATTCAAGCATTGACAAAGGGTCAGGAAACTGAGACTCGCCCCAGACCAGGAGGACCCCGGCGGCCAGGGTGTAGGCCACAGGCAGCCCGCCTGGCAGTCAGGGGCTCAGAGCCTCAGCCAGCCAGTCTTACCCCAGAAAGTACAGGCCCCAAGATGCCACCACTCTGACCCCAAGGAGGTAAGCGTCGACCACATAGGGGCCTCACAAGGAATAGACGTGACTGGGCTGCGGGACAGAGAGCCTCCGCAGGGCCTGAGCGAGGGGCGGCCGGGCCTCTGGTGGTGGCCAGCCTTTCTCTTTCCCAGCCCCAGCTTCCTCTGGGCAGGGGGCCTGGCCCCCATGGCCTCCCAAGCCAGCCCCTTGAGCACCACCTGCCCCAGCAGGCCAGAGACTTCCTGTAGCGCAAGAGATTTATGCAAAGGGCTAGGGTGGTGATGTCACCCCAAGGGGACTATCTCCCAGCGGCAGGCCCTTCGATAAAATCAGGAACTTGCGCTGGCCCTGCAATGTCGAGGGAGGGGGCTCACCCAGGGCTCCTGTAGCTCAGGGGGCAGGCCTGAGCCCTGCGTCCGCCCTACGGCCATCCAGCCCCCCGACGGGGCACCCCGTCCTGAGGGGCCCCGCGCTGGCCCCCACCGAGGCAGGGGATCTGACAGGCTCCGAGCTCGGCTGGATGTTACAGGCGTGCACAATGGAAGGGTTTCCCCTCGTCCCCCCTGTGAGTACTGGGACTCCTCCACTGGCCCAGCGGGCCCTCGGAAGCAGCCCGCCAGCCCACTCGAGGGGGCCGCTATCAGTGGGAAGTTGGCGTTTCCTCCCTGGAGCTCCTGGCCTGAGACCTGTGAGGGGCCACTGGCTTCCTCTGGGCCTGGCGGGCTAGGGCTGGCCCACCGTGGGCTGTGACCGATGAGGCCTGAACGGTTATTTATAGCAGGGCTTGGGTGGCAGGCCCAGCTCCAGGGCAGGGGACTGGGCTGAGGATGGTGAGGGTGGCAGCAGAGAAGTACAGGAGGAGATGGGAACACTGGCCTGGGGGAGGCCAGCCCCCGGGCAGGAAGGGGTCGGCTGCCTGCTGGAGGCAGCAGGCAGAGGTCTCAGCCCGGGGCCCACCGACTTCAAGAGACCAAGGATCCTGGAACTCTGGGCCCCCAATGAGTCCCCAACGCCTAGTCTTGGGCCTGGCACAGAGGACATATCTGTTGACCAAATGGTCTGGGCCTACAGGTCCCTGAGAGATGGGGTGGGGGCCTGGACTGGGCCAGGGGCTTGGGGCTGGGCAGGGCAGGGCAGGAGGGGGCTGAGCAGTGACACTGTCGCTAGGGTTGAGCCTGCACTGGAGTTAGGAAGAGGCAGGGACGGTATGGGACCAGGTGGCAACTGAGATTGGGTCTGGGGTAGGACTGGGATGAGCGTCAGATTGGAATTAGGATGAGCACCGGGTCTGGGGGTGGAGGCGCAGAGTCCCAGGAGACCCAGGGAAGGGAAGGGCAGAGGGCGGGCCGGTCTGCAATGCTCCCCGCTCTCAGTGACAGTTGCCGCCGAAGACAGGTGTCAGGGTCCCTCAGAGAGGACCCTTCTCCCTTTTCCCATCTCATGTCCGATGGGGAGGCCCAGGGTGGGGGGACTGGGAAGGGCAGGGCTTGCCCCCTGACTCAGCTTTCCCGGCCTAGCGGCAGCGCCCCTCCCCCTCCCGCTGCGGCTGGGAGCCCTGGAGGCACCCCGCCTGACATCACGGCCAGCATCCTGGGCTGGCTGCCTGGGACCCGGGGAGGCAGGCTCAGGACTGGGCTCCCCTTTCTCCGCCTGAGGCAGACAGTGCCCGAGGGAACCTCTTCCCCAACCTGGGACTCAGCAGGTGCTGGGGACAGGGAAGGATGGAGGGGGTTGTCCCAGCAAGAGCCCATTCTTCCTTAAGAAAGCCCCAGGCCCAGGGGCTTGGCCCTACTGTCTCTGACCCTTGACCTCTCAACCCTGAACTCCCCGACAGAGCTGGGTAGGGAACAGATCCTGGGTTTCCACCTTAGACCCCGGCCCCTCTCTCCAGCCCCAGGGGCCACTCTGAGTGTCTCTGGGGACAATGGGTTCTCAAGACAGCCCTGGTCCCCCATGCCAAGCCCTAAGGGTCACGGTCATTGTTGTGCAATCCTTGGGCACAGGCTGTGGGGGTGGGGAGAGGCAGAGGACTTCTGGGGAGGCAGCTTGTCCCTGTGCCTGAGCCAGTAAGCTGGGGGTGGGGAGGGGGAGAGAGGAAGAGGAGGAGGACTGGGGGGAGGGGGAGGGGGAGGCAGGTGAAGGAAGGAGGAGGGAAGGGAGTATCCAGTGAGGGGAGGGGAAGGGGGGATCCAGGCCTCTGTCCCCTAGCCCCCAAGGCCGCCTGCCAGGATGACTTCTGTACAAACCATTAGTAAGGTGGTCATCACGGTGGGCCTGAGTCTGTCTGGGACCTGGACACAGGCTGTGAGGGAGAGTTGGGGTGGGCAGGGAGACTGATAGGAGGACCCCAGTGTGCTGTAGAGCATGCTGGTGAAATGTGGGAGGTTGTGGGTGTGACCGTTGGTGGCTGGAATGCAGTGGGTGTGCATGGGTCAGTTCATGCAACTCTGCGTGTGCCCACAGGGGTGAGTGTACAAGGGTGCATGGGTTGTGTGTGAGTGGCTGTAAAGGTGTGTGTGGGTGCCAGGTATGATGGCGCACGCCTGTAATCCCAGCAGCTTGGGAGGCTGAGGCAGGAGGATGTCAAGTTCAAAGCCAGCCTCAGCAACTTAGCCAGACTCCTGTCTCAAAATAGAAAAATAAAAAGGGCTGGTGATGTAGCTCAGTGGTTAAGCACCCCTGGGTTCAATCTTTAGTAACAAACAACAACAAAGATGAGGGTGTCAGCCTTTACATGCATGGATGGGTACAGTGGCTGAGAGAGTGAGAGGATGAGCTGTGAGAGTGAGCCCACAAGTGGGATTGGGGCTGTACCGGTGTCACAGGGAGTGTGTGTGCGTTTGGGGGAATGGGTGCATCTGTGTGGATGAGAGGTGAACATGTGAGACCATGATCTGGACCACACAGGCGTGAACATGAGTGTGAGCGTGAGGGGACTTTGTTAGCTTTTCGTTGCTATGACAAAATACCCAAGAAAAACAGCTTAAAAGAAGAAAGGTTTATTTTGGCTCACGGTTTCAGAGGTTTCAGTCTAGGGGTGGCCAACTCCGTGGCTCTGGGCCTGTGGTGAAGCAGAGCATCATGGGGAGGAGGGTGTGGTGGAGCAAAGCCGCTCACCTCCTGGCAGCTGGGAAGAGAGAGAGCTTGGAGGAAGGGACTGGGAACAAGGTAGACTCCCCAAGGGCACACCCCCAAGGACACACTCCCTTCCATGAGGCCCCACCTCCCACAGTTTCTATCCCGTCCCCAAAGTCCAATCACCTATGAATCCATCAATGGAGTAATCCTGAGGTCAAAGCTCTCAGGATCCAGTCACTTTCCAAGTCCCACCTCTGAACGCTGCTGTACTGGGGACCAAGCCTCCTAGGCTGTGGGGGACATTTCAGATCCAAACCATAAAGAGTTGTGGGGCCCAGCCAAGCGGGGCAGGGGGGCTGCACCTTCTCCTCTGTCCTCCAGTGATCTCTGACCTCTATGGCCCCCATCACTGCCTTTAGCTCTCCTGGGACCCCGCCCTCTCCCTGTGGCCCTGACCTTGTGGATTTCAAGCAGAGGGAGAGCTGCGGGGTCAACAGGGTCGCTTGGTGAGGGAAGGTGTTGTGGACTCAACACACTGGGGGCCGCAAACCTGGCTGGGGCCTCCCCACCAGCCCAGGCCTTGACACCCTCCTCTCTCAGCAGCCGTCAGAAGACCTGGTTCCCTATGACACGGACCTGTACCAACGCCAGACGCATGAATATTACCCGTATATCACCAGTGATGGAGAAAGCCACAACGGTGAGTTCAGGAGGAAGGGACTGGGAACAAGGTGGGTGGGCGGTGAGTTCAGGGCCTGCCGCCCCTTCCAGGTGTGGGTGGGCGCCTGAGCACCTGGGCGGAGGGGGAGACGAAAAGAAGAAATGGCTCCAGGCCTTCCTTGGAATTCCAAGGTCAACTTAGCTCTGGGGGAAGTGACCTACTCATCCCTGCATCCCCCACCCCTCGCTGATGAGCCTCTTCCGTGTGCCAAGGACCAGGTCAGCTTCTTGCACATTTATGTCAGCCAACCTGTGGACTTCAACGTGAGGATGCTGAGGCTTAGGGACCAAAGTGACCTGCACAAGGCTCCCAGCTGACCAGGCCCCCCCCCCATCGGTCAGACCCAAGGCCAGCGCTCTGCACACTCGCCGCCCCCGCCAACCCCTTCCTCAGTTCTTCACTCTCTTTCCCTCAAACTCGCCCCCACCCACAGCCCTACTCCCTGCTGTGTGTGTCTAGCAGCTTCTCTGCTGATACTTTGGGCGGGACAGTTCTGTTTGGGGACTGTCCTAGGCACCAAAAGAGGCTTAGCAGCATCCTCAACCCATCCCTCTCCATGCCAGTTCACTGCCAATCATGACAACCAAGTCAGTCTCTTTACGTGTTGCTAAATTTCCCTGGGCAAGGCAAAACCGCGTCCATCTGAGTACTGCTGGATCAGGGGGAAGCCTCTGGGGACCCCTTGCTCAGCAGAGGCCGAGGGTCCCAGTTACCGCAGAGACCTGGGCCAGAAGGTTCTTTTGTCTGTCTACCCCAGGGTCCAGCATCCTTTCTGGAGCAGATTGGCTCCTGGTGCATCCCTGATCCAAAGGTCAGGTGGCCCAGTTAAGGGACTGAATCCTCAGTGGGGGTTCTCCAGGGTGTCTACGGCCCCTTGAGGCAGAGACACGGAGAAGGCTGTATGCAGGCCCATTTAGAACCCTCCCCTCAGGGTCCTGGAACTCACAGCCGGCATCCATTAAAGGACTCCACCTGGAAGCTCTCGAGGTAGGGTGGCGTCCCCTCAAGACCAACTTTCAGGCCCCAGGGCCAGAAAGGCCCCCAACCCAGGAAATACCATCTTTGGTTTTGTTGCTGGGGATGGAACCAGGCTTTGCTCACGCTAGGCAAACGCTCTAAAACTAAGCTGCATCCCCAACCCTTTAAAAAATTTTATTTGGGGACATGGTCTTGCTAAATGGCCCAGGCTGACCTTGAACTTGTGGTGGAATTGCCTCAGCCTCCGAGTAGCTGGGATCACAGGGGAGCCCACCTACCTCTTTTGTGCTTTTAAGCTTATGTGTGATTACACTAGAAACACATCCTCTTGGTAGAAAATTCACACGATGTAGAGAGGGAGGGTGTCTCTCTCACCAACTCTATTCTCAGCTTCTCCTTCCATGGGTGTGAGTGACCCCAGCTCCACACACCCTCCCTTCTGCCAGTGGTTCCAGGACCGACCCATCACCAGTCGGGCTTGAGGAGGGCGCCCCCTGGTGGCTCGGCCCTGCAGGCTCTGCGGGCGGCCTCCTTCCTCCAGAGTCTTGCTTTCCCCATGGCCAACTGGCTTTCCATTCACGGGTTTGGGGTACTTCCTTTGGGTCTTGTGTGGCCTCAGATTTCCTTCCTGGAGTATGAGGGTATGGCCCACATATCTAGAAACCAACTAGGCCTGGGGCTGGGCCCACGGAGTGAGAATTTCAGAGGAAGTGCTTAGATCCGGGGAATGACTCCTGGTTGGATGCCTGAGCACCCCAATTTGGGCCCCCCGAGTCTTCAGGTGTTCCAGACCTGCCCACCCCCTCCAACCCTGTCAGGCCTGGATCCATGTCCTCACCAGCTGTGTAGCTTGGGGCAAGTAACATAACTTCCCTGAGCCCCCCTTTCCTCGTCTAGAAACTGAGAGCCTGAAAATACTTCAGAGTTGTGATGATTCAACGCAGTGACGCACATGGTCTATAAGGCCAGGTACTGTGCTGAGAACAAGGCCCGGTGAACCGGGAGGGCCTCCTTAGCTTTACTGCATTCCCAAGGCAGGAGGGAGGGAGCAGCTGGGGGCGTGGAGAAGCACACCCTTCCACCCCCCCACCCTGCATCCACCCCTCCACCCGCCCGGGCATCCATCCTTCCAACCGCTTAGCACGGGTGCCCCTCCCGCATCAGTTCAGCATTGAAGGTCCTCTGCTGTGTGTCACGTAGCACAGTATTGCAGGCACCTGGGAGTCCACGAGGAGCCAACCAGCCAAGCCCTGCTCTCCGGGAGGGAGGGGAGAGAAAATCCTCAAACACACACACACACACACACACACACTCACACACACACAATGATAAGTCCTATGAGACCCAGAGTGACATAGTGCGGTTTTTGTGTGGGGACACCCTTCTGTGCAGGGTCCGGGAAGCTCAGGGTAGGTGTCACTGAGTTGAAATCTTGAGTGAAGAAAGGTGTAGGGGGGGAGGGGTCCAGGCAAAGGGAGCACAAGGAGACCCTGACAGAGGCCCCAGAGGCTTCTGAGAACCAGACGGTGGAGATAAAATGCATAGGGACGGGTCACACGAGGCTTAAAAGACATGGAGGGAGAGTGGATTTTATTTTATGGAGAGTTTTTTGTTTGTGGGTTTTCTGTTGCTTTGTTTTGCTGTGTGGGGGATAGAGCCCAGAGCCCCAGGCACACTGGGCAAGAGATCAGCACTATTTTGGAGAGGTTTTGTTTTGTTGGTACTATGAATTTAATCCAGGAGTGCTTAACCACTGAGCCACATCCCTAGGCTTTTTATTTTTAATTTTGTGACAGGACAGGTTCTCACTAAGTTGCTTAAGGTCTAACTGGCAATCCTCCTGCCTTGGCCTCCCAAATTGCTGGGATTTTATAGGCATGTGCCACTGTGCCTGGCTTTTGGAGAGTTTTGAGCAGGAAAATCACATAATCTAAAGTGTGAGTGTGTGTGAGTGTGTGTGTGTGTGTTCATATTTAAATACATCTTAAATCTTTAAAGTTTAATTATTACAAAATACTCATTGCTAAGACTTACGAACTACTCCAGCACCCCATGAGAAACATTTTCCTTTTTTTTTTTTTTGTTGGGGGTGGGTACCATGGATTGAACTCAGGGGCACTCTACCACTAAGCCACATCCCCAGCCCTATTTTGTATTTTATTTAGAGACAGGGTCTCACTGAGTTGCTTAGCACTTCACTGTTGCTGAGGCTGGCTTTGAACTTGCAATCCTCCTGCCTCAGCCTCCCAAGCTGCTGGGATTACAGGCGTGCACCACCACACCTGGCTCATTTCCCTCTTTTCTATCTCCCTCCCACTAAAGGTAACTTAGACATCATTGCAGACTTTTATTCTATAAATAAGCCCTGCATATTTATAAATATATACCTATATACATGTAGATTCTATTCATCCAAAATGGAATTACTGGGGCTGGGGCTATAGCTCAGTGGCAGAGCACTTGCCTAGCACTTGTGAGGCACTGGGTTTGATACTTTTTGTAGTTGTAGATGGACAGCATGCCTTTATTGTATTTGTTTATTTTTATGTGGTGCTGAGGATCGAACCCAGTGCCTTATGCATGTGAGGCAAGCACTCTGCCACTGAGCTACAGCCCCAGCCCTACAAAAAAAATTTTTTTTAATGAAATTACTGTATCATGCTGTTCTGCAATTTGCTATTTTTTACTGAAGCCTGTTGCGGATATTCCTCTGTGACATAGACCTTGTGTCCGCTGTTTTACTAACCGAAAGAAGGATTTCTGTTGCAGCACTGTCTGTCTGGGCCAGTGAGGATGTGAAATAGAGCCTTAGAACATTATTCATCCACCAACACTGGCCGAGGACCTTCTGGAGGCTAGGCAGAGAGGGATCTGGTTGGTCTGTCAGTTGGGGAGATCATCTATTCACTTTACTAGGAGAAAGGAGATCCTGACTCTAGCCAGCCATGCCACACCCACGGAATACCTGTGCACGCTTCCCAGGGCAGTTTCCTGGTAACTTTTGTTAAATTGGTATTTGAAATTTCCACTATTATGACCGTGGGATATTACTCTCAGCTTGCCTCTCATTACCTGTGCTTTCTCCGCCCTGTGTATCCGAGGGGCAGTGTCACAGGACGGAAAAGCCCTGATTCTGGAACCAGACACTGGGATTCATCCCCCACTCTCCATTGCAATCTGGAGTGACCATGGGCAAGATGGTCAACCTCTCTGTGCCTTAACTTCATAATAACACTCACTTCACCAAATTGTTGTCAGGATCGAGTGATATAATACATGTAAAATAACCAGAACAGGCCTGGCAAATACTGAATTTCTCTAAGGAGTTGTTACCTTATCATTATAGTCTCCAAGGGAAGGGTGTGTGGCAGGCAAGGTTTTTTTTTTTTTTTTCTTTTGGTACTGAGGATTGAACCCAGGGGTACTTTACCAAAGAGCTTTACTCCTCAGCCCTTATTATTTTTTATTTTCAGACAGTATCTCACTAAATTGCTTAGGGCCTCAGTAAGTTGTTGAAACTAGCCTCAAACTTGCCATCCTCCCATCTCAGCCTCCTGAGTTGCTGGGATTACAGGCATGTGCTACCATGCCCAGGTTTTATTATCATTGTTGTGCTGGGTTGTGTTGTGTTTTACCTCCTCGTGCCTTCCAGCTATTCTGTTATCACTTTAACAATAGTTTAGCCATGCTAGGACTCCAGGTTGAGAATCATTTTTTCCTTAGGAATTTGAAAACATTTCTCTGCATCTTCTGGTTACTAGAGCTCTCCTTGTGAAGTCAAAGGCCCTTCCACATTCCCTTTTCCGAAAGTAACCTGATTTTTTGTTTACATTTGCTTATTTTTTTTTTCTGTTTGTTTTGTCTCTTTGGAAGTTTTTAATATCTTCTTCCAGTGCCTAGTTGTTCTACCAAGTAAACTTCTTAAAAAGCCTGTCTGGGGCTGGGCTTGTGGCTCAGTGGTAGAGCGCTTGCCTGGCGTGTGTGAGGCCCTGGGTTCAATC